GTACAAGATTCTGTAATATGCCTCACATTTGGGATAAAATGGGTTGTAGGTAATCTACGGTTGTATATTCCTCATTTTCTCGAAATCTTATTTCTAATAATATTGGGCTAAATTTAGAAATGATTTTCGCTGCTTCGTACACCTGGGCTGAGATTAGTGCTTCATTTAGCGTTTGGCGATACTCTAATCAAAGAGCTTGTTGCCTTTTAACATCCTGTAGGGCATCTACGAATGTTTGTTCATATATCAATTTATTTTAGGAAATTTTTAGGTGCCTGAGGAAGGGCCAAATGTAACAATCGTTTAATATCGGCTTTAAATTCTTGCAGTCTTTCATTATGCTTTTAATATCGAACTTTTAGCTCACTTTAAAAAACCTGTTTTAGATACTGCTGGTCATTTCTTGTTTTTAAAGTTTCAATGAGAGAGGTATAACTGGGTATACCCTGGGAAATAAATTGCAAGGACGGTTGCTTTCCTCGAAGCAATACTACGAAAGAAGCTGCCATTTCTTTCTCATCCAACCATTTGTTCTGGTTGCACCTTCGAATTAAAAACGATAAATTTCTCAAATTGTTTGACCATCGAATCAGGGTAGTTTTAAAATTTTGTCTAGTTCTAATTGCACCTGGTTCAACTATAAAAGCAGTTTCTTCAATTTCGACATTAGTTAGGTACCGAAACATTAGATACAGAAGCATTTTTAACTTAACGAACTCAAATATTTGTCTTTCTAATTTAGATTTAAAATCGTTTTGATGTTATATGATTTTATTTTCTAAATGGATTCTTTGTTTTATTTTATTGTCAAAATCGTTTTGTTGATCTTCTAATTTGCCTACTCTACTAGTGATTTGACTTACTCTAACTTAAAATTCTCATGAATTTGGGACAAATTACTCATGATGTTTACCTCTACTTTTTTAAGCTCTCTTCTTTTTCTTGTCTACACCTATTTCCTCTTCTTGTACACACTTCTTCACCTCCATATGCTTCTCCTTCTCCTCTTTCTCTTCTTGCATACGTTTCTCTTTCTCTTCTTATCTAGAATTCTCTTTCATATCTTCCTTTTCTTGTTTACGCTTCTCCTTAAGCTCGTAATCTTCTTACATTTTTAAAAGGACGTATAATATCCATTTCTATCTTTAAATTCGGTTGATCTCATGTTTACCATTCACAATTGTTTGTTTATTCCCCACCGCTGTTATCAATGTTACACATCTTTGAAATCAATTTTATTCGAAACACCAAAAATATTACAATACTTGTTTACAATAACTCAATGACAACTATAAACTTCAAAAACTCAAATATTTATACTGTTACAAACTATCAACATCTGTTTATATATATTTTCTGATGTTCCAAACATCACTAGACATTTCACGAATGTTAGATGTCATTTTGAATGTTCTCTAACTACTTCTTCTATTTCGTCAAGGGATTTTTTCTATGTGGAATAAATCTTACGGACCTTTCGTAACAATATTTTAAGGCCTTTATACGCGATTTTATTAAAAAGTTAAAAAAAACGCTTGAGGTGAATTTACCCCTGTACTAAAAAGATGTGATTTTTTTTTTACTTTTTAGAGGTTAATTAAGTAGTCGTATATATAAAGTGTTATAATTTACTGAGATTGGTGTAGTAGATTTTAAGAAAAACGTTTTCCAGTTTTGAAAAATTTAATTTCTAGAAAACCCGGTTTTAAATAATTTTACTGTAATTTTATAGAATAACATAGCCGTATTTATTTTTTTACCTCTACTAAGTGATTTCTGGTACATATTGGGTGTCCTCACTGTCCAGTAAAAACTGTAAATCCTCTCTTGATATCTCGCTGTTCCTTTTGTTGGTTTGAGCAATATGAGTTTCGTAATTTCTTATTCCAATTTTTATTTTTGTTTTCAATTTTGTCAAGAAACTAAGTAATTTGGAATTATTTTCTGTAGTAAACTGATTACCTTTGGATTTTCTTTTTTTATTATGCTTTTTCCAATGCACCCCCTTACTTTGGCTGCCTTCTAAATGACCACCATATCCAAGCATTTTTTCGATTGTTAAAACATTAATTATTTCAATAATATAAAACACGTGCTCGCTTTATAAGTTTTAGAAAGCAATTGTGAGTTGCTTGTGCGCAGATGAAGGGGGGCGCGCAGTGTTATATACAAACGAGTTTTAGCTCAGATACGTATCGGTATAAATACAGCTAGCTATAACTTTGTATAGAACCAGTACAAAGATTCCAGTATCTTGGTTGCTGGATAACAAACGATCATGACCGCGAGGTCGAAATAAGTGCTCGTATAGAATATGCTTTAACTTTAGATTTCGTAACTATGGGTTTTTACAGGGTTGGGTAGTTAACCCAACCTACGAGGTATACCACAGATATAAACAAATATTTGGTGGTAAAGACGTAGTATCTCTATAAGAATAGGAAGATTAAGATGGGCAGGACATCTAGCAAGATCACAGCAGAACAACCCTCCTAGAAGAATCCTTATGTCACAACCCGTGGGAAGCAGAAAAAGGGGTAGGCCAAAACTCAGATGGAAGGATGGTGTAGATGAGGATGGTAGAAAGATAGGCGCAGCAAACTGGCAAACGGTTGGCAATGGATAGGACTGCCTGGCGTAATAGACTTGGGAAGGTCGAGGCTCTTTCATAGGGCTGTAGCACCATTGATGATGATGATGATGATAGAATATGCTAGGTCCGCATTTCAACGAATGACAAAATTCCTAATTAAACTCTACGTTATCGTTGGATATCCGATACCAATTTGTAAAAAACGTTTATTTATTCCATTTTACTATACGTAGTGGAAACATGGACTCTCGGAATTACAAGTATGAGGCGTATAGAAGCTTTTGAGATGTGGGTTTTTCGAAGGATGCTGAAGATCTCTTGGACAGAGTACGTGACCAACAACGAGGTGCTTAGGAGAATGGGTACTGAAAGAGAACTCCTAAATATTGTAAAAAACGGGAAAAACGAGTTATCTAGGACATATTTATAAAGGAGAGAAATACAACTTCCTACGACGTTATAATGGAAGGGAAACTCCAGGGGGACTCCACTGAAGGGGAAGAGGTCCAAGAAGAAGAAAATGCTCCTGGTTGAAGAATGTAAGAGACTGGACAAGTATGCACCCACATTCGACACTAAGAACAGCTCAAGATAGAGAGCAATTTGTTGTAGTTATGGCCAACCTTCAGTAATGGGGAAGGCACCTTAAGAAGAAGATAACTTTGTTCCTATTTTGAAATTTTTATTACAATTTTAAGACAGTATTTTATAACAAATATCGATTGTTTAAAAATTTAGGCAGTAAAAGTGCTCCTAAAAAAAGGCGCGTAAAATATACTTATCCTGTAAATTCATTTTTGGAAGATTTGTTCATCGATCAAAACTTTTTTATATACACTTCATCTAATTTATATAACGATGCACGTCATCGGCGTCATAGCCTGTGACGTCACATGATACCAACACAAAATATTTAGGGTGTAGGTGTGTTCTTTTTTAGAATCACTTTACCGAGTACACTGGCATTACAGCCACTAGACATTATTTTATTATATACGCGTAGAAATAATATTTAAAAATTTCTATTAATGTTAACTTAAAGAAATACACAATAATAGGTTTCATTTAATTTGTATAAATGCATTATAAATCGTTTTTTATCAATAGCATTTGTTCGGAACACACTGTAACTGTAATCGAACGAAGGTAAAATTTTGGCATAAAATTGGTAACACTTATTTGACAGTTGCGGTGTTGACACTTTTTGTACTTCATTATTTTGAATTTTAAATTGAATATCTCTTGTTTTATATTTTTAACTATTTAATAAAATCTGTTCTTTTTAGAATAAAATTAGTGTGATTTGTTTCAAAAATGTCACGTAAGAATTTAAATAGTCGTTGTAAAGAGATGGTAATACTTTTGCAATAATTATGTACCTAATCTATTTGATTTAAAATGGAGTCAGGATTTTTTTTATATTTTGGCTACTATGTCAACTTCGATCTCTGACGTAGATAATGACGTAAGTCGTTATCTAAATTAGATGAAGTATATCTATATTGTATTACATTAATAATATGTTTTTTACTGTATTGGGTTTTATAAAATAATTGTTGGTGGACTGTATAATATTGTATTACTGTATTGTTACAACACAAATAAAACCAAAAACGCAAATGTTATACAATAATACGAGTAGTTTTGCAGAATTTGTTTCATTGTAGGTCTTGTAATGTAAGGAATTAACTCGTCTGCTTGCGGGCAGACGTAAATGCGCACATTGGTGTGAAGCAGGTCTCGGTATAGAGGCTCCTTGTTAAATATTCCTATTATTTAATTATATATTTTATTATATAATATTAAAATACTAACTACTAAAGCAAAACTTTGGCCTTTTATTAAACAAAGAATTTGATATAACACGGGTAAAGCAGATACTATAACAGCAATTATTGCCAAGAATAGATTTTTAAGCTTTATTCTATAGAATTGTTTATCATGGAGGTTGGGAAGCCTAAGACAAGGAAAAATAAAAATTAAGATTTACTTTACGAAAAACTGAAAGAAACTGATCTTAATTCCGCCCAGGACCTCATGACAGACATTGGACAATATTTTCACTTGATAGAGCAGAATGAGGCCAAATAATTCGATAGTATAGTTTAGTTAAGTATTGAGTAGTAATTTATGATAACTAGTTAGCCTTGAAATAAATTTCTTCATTAAAAAAATGCGATAAATATTTTATGTGAAAAAATTTTTTTAGGACATACGTTATGTAAATATTGTATGAGGATTAATAAAGTGTTTTATTGTTATAGAAAAAACAAGGAACATTTTAAAAATAATAGAAAAAAAATTTTGGTTTTAATTATTTTTATGCTCTGAGCGATATATCCAAATTGATACTGCAAGAAATAAATGGCTCTTAAACAAATTAACCTTACTGGTGTTTACGTTTTAGGAACTGACATGACTAAATGGAAACAGGAAGATGGAGGATACGAATTTCACATAGCCAGTGCAGTATCAGAATATATATTGGTGATAAGTACAGTATTGCATGTTGTCACCTATTTTTATGAATTCAGGACAATCGAGTTTAATGAACCGCCGATAAGTATTAAGGATGTGGTTGCTGATGCATAGGTTGCAATATTAATTTAAAAATTTTAAAATACTGTTTTTTTATAATTAGTGGAAAAAGATATGAAAAGAACTATCATATGTTTCACAGTTTTTATTTATTACATTTTGTTTTAAAACCTTTTTTAATAAAGTATTATTATTATTTAGTTTTATTGTTTATCCAGTTTTGTTATTTTACTTACAACTATATTCCTAGTATTATTACAATTTTTTTAAGTAATGCGATCACCACATTTCATATTCCAACGCATTTTTTTTTTACTTTTACGCTAAATTTACGTTTCTTTAGCATCTAATATCCACCGTTTGATGGGGTTACGATCTTCACCAGAAGCTTTGTGTTCACAACAATAATAACTTTCTCTCACAACAATAACACAGATCCCAAGTATGTTAACTGTGGAGAGGCTCACACAGTCAACTACAGATGATGCTCCAAAGCACCAAGGAGGAAAACTAACACAGTTCTAGCACCAATAAGGAGTAAAACCATCACTGCTTCAACCACATTGGCCTTCACCAACAGAAGCTCTACGCACAGGGCATGAAGGCAGCAACAGCTGAAGTCACCAGAAACAATAATAAAACAGGGCAAAACACCGAAACTGCAAACTTAATCACCACCCTAAATACAAAACTTTATATGCATGTTCGGAAAAATAATAGTTCGTCAGTGGCTCGGAAACCTTTTTTGGATGGTGCTAGAAAGGTCATCAATGGAGACACTGCGGACGACAGGCAGATGGTTGGTGGAGAGCGAGTCGTGGGTTCGAAACTAGCTTTTGGAACCGGGAATGGGTCCAACGGAGGAAATAAGTAGAGATAGGACAAGATAAGATATATGAGAAAATATACAGAAATAAATAAAAAGATAGATGGGTAAAATTACCAAAGATAAATAAAATAGGAACAGGGCGCCACTCAAATTTTGGGGTTAATGGAGAAAATTAAGAAACCTTAGAAAAGAAAAGAGATAAGGAAAGATAATTTAGGTTCTGAGACCAAATCCAAGGACAGATACCAACAGTTAATTATTAAATAAATTTGGTCAACACACTATATAAACAAATAATAAATATATTAGGTGGACTTCGTCCATTTACTTACCTACGAACTAAATCAGCCTGCTCTTTCGTCTGGTCGAAGATATAATAATAATTAAAGGTAAAAAGTAAATATTCAGAGTTGTTGTTATATCAGGAAGCTTGTTAGGAGTCGACAAATAAAATTCATACATAAATCAAAAACAATATATTCAACAACACAATGATATAGGTGGCTGAATGTACACACAAGCAATAAAAATACACCATCAATTATACAATGGTTGTATACATATAAAAATAAGCAATACTATGAATAATAAAGTACCTTTACAAATACAACAATATAATAATGAACAGGTTCAATTATCAGCAAAGAGAGCCTGATAGTGAGTAAGAAAAAAAATCAACCAAAGTTGATTAAAGAAAGTCTCTCTTTGCTGTTTAATATCTCAAGATACTGGGTTTAGTAAATAAAAAATGAATAACAAAGCACACAAAATTAATTAAAGTTAAATTCAAAGAATACAACAATATTACAGAAATAAAAATTTAAACAAACCGCACTTGGTTAAGTCGATTATCTGTTCGCACTGTTATTTAATGATTGATTGAGAATTAAATGTTCGTAATTATTATTTATTAGAATTTCTTAGTAGCTGATGGAAAGTTCGTAAGAAAGTATTGAATGTTCTTTAAATTAAATACCATACCATATTATTCGCCCATATAAGTGGAGATACTATGATTAAGATAACTTAAAGTAATTCCTGATGACTGGTACGCTACACTGAAGGTATCTCCCACCTAAAAATTATGGGACAGTCTTCATTTCCAAAAAGGTAAAAAGTTCTGACGAACATCGAATATAACGGTCTCTTCTAGCTAGAAACGTAATGAAATATAAATTCCTTTGTATTAGGTTATTGCAGAAAAAAAAAACATCACAACGTGCCACCGACGATATTTACCGAATTTATAAAAGAGAACCTGGAAAAGGATTAACTAAGAATTAGCCAAACCGGCGTCCTTAAATAAGTAGGTAGGTAGATTCTTCTGTCATGTTTTGGCACTTTTTAATAAAATTAAGCTACCTATTTGCGAATACTACCATGAGCGTATCAGCAACGGAGATAAAGGGAATACAAATAGTTAATATTTTAATTATATAAAAAAATGTTACAGGCTAACAACTAAAATTAACATCCATGATGAGTTTGCAAACAGACTCGAATTAGATACCACAGCTCTATAAAAAACCAAACTAACGGAAAAATAAAAACCAAATTTCCGGGCTCTGATATCTACAAAAATGATCACAGGGCATTATTAGGAGATACAGCTTATCTGGTAAAAAAAAAGTATAAAACATGGACTACTTTATACACTAGATGGTTTGATCACTATGGAAGCCACCATAGTGAATATCATAATGAAAAACGATAACTCAAAAATTTTTTCAGCGTATCTTAGACCGCGAGACCCTATCTTCAATGAGGATCTGAATATCATTTTAGAAACAGAGGAGCTGACTGTCATAATAGGGGGCCTAAATGCAAGATCGTCTAACTGGTTGACAGAATAACAAATCGAAAGGGGAGACTATTTTATGGCTATCTTGAAGACAAACAACAAGACCCACGTAACAGGACCAGTGAAATCACCACGCTTCCATGGAGGAGATAGACTCTCTACCTTTTTGGACATAAAAATTCTGCGTAATGTGGGATAATAACATAAAATATTGTTAGTAAATGAAGTCGACTCCATGTACAACCTAATTGTATTAACCCTGGGAACAATAGACCCTGCAACCCCACACGAAGAAAAGAACAAGTTGGTCAAACACAAGAATAGTGAGCGAAACTATTGGACCCATATCAACTATAAATAACATAGCTAAACTAAAAGAAAGCGTGAATAAGCTAGAAAAACAATCCAAAATGCTATTGAAGCCAGCTTCACACAAAAGAAGTCACAACACAAAAAGGGAGGTTCAGAGACTTCAGCAATGAACTAAAAACTCTAATCCAGGAAAAAAGAAGGAAAAGAAGAGGAGCCAACAGAACAAGAATCCTACAAGACAAAAAATTGCTACTGAACTAAACTTGGAAGTCAAGAAATAACTACAAACACATAAAAATAAATGCTGGAATTATGGCATTCAAGAGCTAAACCCTAACAAATCGGCGTTCTGGAAACTTTCAAAAATATATCGAAATGTAAAAAAACCAATTCCAGCCCTACATGGTAAAAATAAAATCGTATACATCGAAAACGAAAAAGCGGAATTGCTAAAAGACACGCTAGAATCGGCTTGTAGGAACAACTATTATCCAAACAAAGAACTATATTTTACAGAAGTAGTAGAAAGAATGGCAAGAAATCTAAGAAGAAGAAAGGGCAAAATAGGTATTATGCATACCTTCCCTAAAGAGATTAAACGATTGATCAAGATGACCAATGCAAAGAAAGCACAAGGACCGGACAGCATCACAAACAGAGCGCTTAAGAACCTGCAAGAAAAAGTGATGGTATATACCACCAACATTGTTAATAATATGCTAAGATTTTTCCCGGATAGATAGAAAGACACTAATGTTATAATAATCGGAAAACTAGGAAAAAACGCGACCTTTTCACAAAATTACAGGCCTATAACCTTATTACCATCAATGAGCAAAATTGCAGAAAGAGTGGCACTAACCAGGCTGAAAGAGAAACCATAGCAATAGAAACAATACCTAAAGCATAATTTGGATTCAGAACAGAACACTTATGCAAACTAGAAGTACTGCAACAAACTGAGTATACAGCATCTGCCTTTCTAGATGTCAGTAAAGCCTTTGACAAAGTATGGCAGGGGGCTTTGCTGTGCAAAATGAACGACCATGGATAGAGAGATACATGTGTTCATACATCGTACCTAGCCAACAGGAGGTTCCAAGTCCAGGCACAACCTACCCTACAGTCAAGTAGGGATCAAGTCACCTACAGAGCTCTAAATCGCATATAAGCCTGGTTCATATAATGGAAAGTAGCAATAAACACTGAAAAAATACAGTCCATCACGTACCAGCACAGAAAAGGCAGACCAAATAGAGATCTAACATTACTCAATACTCCAATTAAATGGACCAGCTAAGCTAAATAACTAGGCATAACGCTTGACAAAAAGCTGACATTTAGAGAACATCTTGACCAATCGGTCTACAAAGCCAAGGCGTTAAGGAGTCAACTCGCTTCGAATAAACCGGAAAAGTAAAGGTTTAAAATAAGTTGACAGATTATGATGAAAACCTGAAGACACTCACCTCACGCATACTTTTTAGCATTAAGTAAACATTTACACTTGGGAATGTACAAATGCACACCCCATAAATAAGGTTAAAAAAACACCTTTAATCATCGCACTAAACTCTCTGTATAAGTTCGACTCTAACATTCTTTTCTATCATCTGTCTCAGATAGAATATATTACCTAGACATGATCTGGCTTTTAGGAATCCGAGTTGTTCTTCGTCATATGGTCCATGTGTTGTTCTATTTGTTCTTTCATTAGTGTGGAAAATATTTTTGCTGATAAAGGCATTACATTGGTCCCTCTATAGTTATTTGGTGACTTGATAATGGAGGACATGTGTGATAGATTCAACTCCGATGGAATTATCTCTACTACTTCGATTTTTTTCAACAACGCTCACATAAATGAACAATCCTTGCGCCTACATATTTCAGCAGTTTCTTATCTTCACTGGTGCTTTATTGTCAAATTGTTGTTGTCATTTTGTCTTGTGGAAGGTACTCCGGTCTTTTCTCTTGAAATTATTTTGTGTAATGCTTTGTCCACTCCTTCGATGTAATTATCTGTTTAATATTTTTACTTCGTTTATTATTTCTGATATTTTTTAATTTTTAATTTTAATTTTATTTTTAATTTTATTTTTTTTATTCTATCGTGCTGTCTACGTCTCTACATATTTTCTCAGTATTTGTTCTTCTTGAGCCTTATTTTTCGCTTCACTTTTGTATTTAACGTAAAAGAAACGTAAAGGACGTAAAGAAATTCGTTTGTCGTAAAATTCCTTTCTTTATTTACTAC